AGAGAGGCTGTCAGTTTATCCAGGGGACACAGGGCGAGGGTGTAGCATTTCTCAGACTTGCCAGACAGTCAGACCTTCTTCTCATCCTTCCCGTGGAGTACAGTGTAGAGCATCCCTAAGAGAAGGTTCTGGAAACCTGTAGGCCTGGGCGTGGCTCTGGTGGTGTCCTCCACTTATTAGATGTGTGCAGCCTCTGCAAACCTCAGTTTGCTCATCTTTGAAATGAGAAGAGGAATCCTCCACTTTCTGGGGGCTCCAAGGATTAAATGATGGGACAAACATAAAGCTGATACCACAGCACCAAGCATGTTGTGGGTCTCCAGCCAGGGCAGTCTTATTACCAGCACAAGGGGGTGTGGGGTGGGGAGCAAGGCATCTTGAGTTGGCTTCGGAGGAGATGAGGTGGGACCTGGATTAATGAAGATGCTAGAATGCCATGGGGTCTGGATGTGGAAAGGATGGAGGCGAGGGAGGAAGTTCCCCTCTCCCCATGATGGTTTTTCATGTAGCTAAATCCCCGGGTAAGTTCACCATCCTCCTCCTCTCCCCTCACTGCGCTGCTCCAGGGGCACCTGGCTTCCCTTTGAGGAGCTCATAGAGTTAGCTCATTAGTCCAGCTCTTCCTGGAAGGCAGAGGTGAGGTGGTATCAGTTTGTAAGCCTGTGAAGTCTGTGGCGCAGCTAAGCCACCTTGCCAGTCTGGGCTCTGCCTTCCCTCCTTCCCCGGGCTCTGCAGTGCAAGTGCTGCAGGATGTGGCGTGCACTGTCACTTCACTCTGCAGACATTCGCCACCTTCGAGGTGCCCGGAGCTGGGACATGGGACAGACGAGGTCCCCCAAGGAGGTGACATCTTGTGGGGAGCTGGGCAGCGAAGGTGCAGTTAGGATGCACAGCTCGGGTGGGGTCTGCGAGGGCAGAGGACCCACTTGACGTTGGGATGCAGGGCCTGGTGGACAGCATCCTGGAGAGGGCGCAGGCTCTCACAGGAAGACTCAGAGCCGACCTGTGCGGAGTGCAGGGAAGGACAGATGGGAGACATAGACAGACAGACAGGGAGTTTTCCCAGTGGTCATGTACAGCTTTGGAGCTTAGATGCTCCAAACTGGGGTGTTGGAGGAGACTCTGGAGAGTCCCTTGTTTGCAAGGAGATCCAGCCAGTCCATCCTGAAGGAAATCAACCCTGAATCTTTTGGAAGGATTGATGCTGAAGGTCCAATCCTTTGGCCACCTGATGCAAAGAGCCAACTCATTGGATAAGACCCTGATACTGGGAAAGATTGAGGACGGGAGGAGAAGAGGGCATCAGGGGACGAGAAGCTAAAACTCCAATCCTTTGGCCACCTGATGCAAAGAGCTGGCTCATTGGGAAAGACCCTGCTGCTAGGAAAGATGGAAGGCAAGAGGAGAAGAGGGCAGCAGAGAATGAGATGGTTGGATGGCATCACCGACTGAGTGGATATGAATCTGAGCAAACTCGGGGAGATGGTAAAGGCCAGGGAAGCCTAGCGTGCTGCAGTCCTTTGGAGTTGTAGAGTCGGACACAACTTAGGGACTGAGCAACAGCAGCATGAGAATAATAGATTTGAAAGGCCCGCAGAGTTTTCTTGGGAGCTGTGGTTTCAAGGCTTGTTCGTCTGAGTCCTGCCCTAATTTCTACCAGGGAGATGGAGACACATGACTTTTCAAAAGCCAAAACCAATACAAAAACTTCTCCTATTGCCCCCCCCGGGGCGAAGCCAGTTCCTGTCGTTCTGCCACCTGTCGGGCAGAGCTCCCAGCCTCACCCTCTTGGTCTTTGATTCCCGGACTCTGGTCGTCGTCCTTCGGCTCAGAACACACGTGCTTTTGCTGTTGTCCTTCTGTCCCGAGGTGTGTGTGTGGGTAAGAAGCGTGTAGGCTTCTGTGCTAATTTCCATCACTGGTACTGTGCTGTTGAAGAGCGTGTTTCATTTAACTGTTTCCCTTCACCACTGTTTTAAAGATGTCCGTGCAGCGGGTGTGACCCTGGACAAGCACACGTTTCACGGGCGCCTCAGGTGCTTGGTCGCTCCCTGAGTGGCGCGTCTCCCTGAGCGGGGCTGCAGGAGGCGTCCTCGTGCAGCCCCGGGGCGTCTGAAGGGGGTGTGGACCCAGGAGGGGAAAAGCTGACGCCGCGGCGAGCCCTTGGCAGGCGTCAGGCCCCGCCAGCTGACTCTGCAGAAGGTCCCGGCGGGGCCGGGAGCAGCCTCTCCCTGCGTCCTCACCCGCTTGGTGACTTTCTGGTTCCGCTGACTGAAGTGTGCAAAGCATCTGCTTGCTCTCCTGTGTGGGCCTCGGATGCACGTGTGGCCAAACACCTCTGTGTGCTTGCTGGCTGTTTAATAACTGATCTGCCGGTCACCTTGGCGAATTGATTCCGCATCCAGTTTGTCCGTTTCCCTGTTTGGGGGGCGTTTTTCTCGTTGGTCTGTAAGAGATCCTTCCTTGTCACTTTTAGATGTTGCCAGTATCTTTTCCTGTTTGATAGATTTCTGTTAAATGCATCTGTGCTTTCACCGAATAGAAGTCTATCATTTTTATGTTCTTATATCTCCCACTCTCTCTCTTTTGGCCTTATGAAGTGTGTGTATGCATGTATTTTTCTGTCCTGGTTTTAGAAGTCCTTCCCTACTCCAAGGCCGAAAAGATTCCCCCATGATTTCTTCCCTTAGCTTTCTTTATAGTTCTATTTTTAAAATTTGGGGCTTTAATCCGTCGGGATTCTGTTCTGTGTTCTGCGTGACCAGCACACAGCTTTACTTTTCCCCACGCCGTCCATCAGTGCCGCCCCTGCCCCCTACCACCCACATCCCGTCCTTTCGCCTTCGGTTTCTGGAACCACCTGCATCACGCTTTGATTTTCCATACCCAGAAGAGTCTATTTCTGGGCTCTCTCTTCTGTTCTGTTGGTTCATCTGCTTTGTATGTGAGCATCACAGCTGTTTTTATTACTGCACCTCTGGAATCTCTCTTAATCCCTCAGAGGCCAGATGTTTTTCTCTTCCTTTTTGAGATTGAGCACATAAAGGACATTTTCTTCTTCCAGATGAATTTTAGAATTAATTGATCAAATTCTTAAAGAACACCTCACTGTCATTGTTATTGAAATTGCATTAAGTTTTTAAGATTACTTTGGGAAATTAGCATGTTAATAATGTTAATCTGACATTTAGGTTTCCTGTTATTTTTTATCTTGGATTTTTTTTTTTTTTTTGGTTATTTAATAGTTTTAAACTTGCCCTGTTCAAGTCTTGGGCAAGTGGGTCAATTCCAAAATAGTTTATATATATATTTGTAATTTATTTATCTTTGGCTCTGCGGGTCTTTGTTGCTGTGTGGACTGCTCCAGCTGCGGTCCGCGAACCTCTGTTGCGGAAGCGTGTCTCGGTGAGGAAGCATCCTCCGTGCAGAGCGGGGACTTGAGGAGCGCAGGCTTCAGTACTTGTGGCACTTGAGCTTGGTAGTTGGGCTCACGGGCTCTGGAGCGCTGGCTCAGTCCTGGCCCACTGGCTTAGTTGCTCTGTGGCACGTGAGATCTTCCTGGTCCAGGGATCGAATCTGTGTCTCCTGCATTGGCAGGCGGATTCTTTACCACTGAGCCACCAGGGAAGCCCTAGTTTATATTTTTGATCGATAATATGAATAGTATCTCATCTTCTATTATGTTTCTAGTTGGCTTATGCTGGTGTCGAAGAATGCTGATGATTTTTAAGTTTCTTGTTCCACTATTCAGATTCTGTCAGTTTTTTTTTTTTTTTGTAAATGCTGACATTTTAATCTGAAATGTGAATTCTTTTTTCCTCTCTTCTTCTGATTACCTTGTGTTTTATTTTGTCTTATCCTGCTGAAAATGCCAGGACCTCCAGTGCAATGTGGAATAGTAGTAATAGGGGCCTGACTTCCTTGCCTTATTTCTAATCTTAAAAGGAATAAGCTAAGATTCTCAGCCAAGGATGGCATTTGCTTTAGGTTTTACTCTGTAGTGTTGATCCAGTTAAGGAACTTCTCTTCAATTTCTTGTTTGAGTTTGAAAAAATAAATAGATGTTAAATTTGATCAAATGCATTTGTCAGTCTTGAGAAATAATTCCTGCGCTTCCGAGTTAAATCCCACTCTTTCTAAAAGTACTTATAAAGGCCATCTCTGTGCCAGACTGAGTTAGGAGTGCTTTATAAATATTAACTCAATCCTTCTAACAACTGTATGAGCTAGGCACTATTTATTATCCCTTTCTTAGATGAGACAAGGTAGGCACAGAAAGGCTAATTAACCTGCTCAGCGCCCCACAGCCAGTCAGGCTCCACTCTGGCATTTGTGGATCCAGGGGAAGAGTGTAAGTGGATGCTCACATACCAGTTATAAATATTTAAAGTTCTGAAACAAGCTAACAAACTGTTAAGTATATTCCATCCTCCTATCTGAGAAATAGACCTCAATCAAACCCTGCAAGATGCCAATCTACGAGATACCAAGATGACAGAATTTAATTATTTGTACATATTCCAATGTTCTGTTGATAAATCTGAGATATTTGGATGAGTCACAGAGTCATACATAATTCATAATTTATACTTGTATTCCATAAAACTTAAGTCTTCTTGCCTCCAATTCAATAAAGTAAATTTTGTAGTGATTCAGACTTTCCTATGGTTTGTGTTGTATTGATAGTAGTGATATAAAACATGAAAATATGGAGCAGAATTATGTTCAGAGTATACAAAATTAAACTTTAATCAGCTATGAGATAAATGCAGAAAAGAATTTCTTCACCTTTCGAAAGGTTTTTCATCTAAAATGTAAAATTACCTGCAGACCCTAGAAAACAGAATATGTATCAGTAAAAGTTTACATGCAAGCTTACTTAAAGCTTGAATTTATTTACCCTTTGAAAATATAGTTCTAGTGTTCAGTGTCCATTTGGTTGCCAGTGTAAATAATTAGTGTGGTGCTGTCACCCGAGTTGCATCTAGACCCAGGCTTACCTTGCTTTATTGCGGTCTTTATTGCGCGCTCACCCATCCTTGACGGCGGTGGGCCTCCCTCCGCGCATGTGGGCTTCTCCTCATGGAGCGCGGGCTCTAGGCTGCAGGCTTCTGTAGTTGTGGTTCACGGGTTTAGTTGCTAAGAGGTGTGTGAAACTTCCTGGATCAGGGATCAAGTATGTCTCTGCACTGGCAGGTGGGTTCTTAACCACTGGACCACCAGAGAAATCCTGATACTGTGTGTGTGTGTGTTTTATAAAGTGACGTGGCAGTCCAGCATCAGGCAAGTCTGTCGACACCATTTTCCAACAGCACCTGCTTACTCAGTGTCACTCCATGTCATTTTGGTAATTCTTGCAATATTTCAAGCGTTTTTATCATTATTCATTATGGTGATCCGTGATCAGTGAAGTTTGGTGTTACAGTTGCAAAAAGATTATAATGTACTCAAGTCTCCAGTGATGGTTAGTGTTTTTTAGCCATAAAGTATTTTTAATGAAGCTATATACATCGATTTTTGAGGCATATGCTGTGGCATGCGTAATAGACTGCAGTGGAGTGTACACATAACTTATATGCACTGGGAAACCAAAAAATTGGTATGACTCACTTCATTCTGATACTAGCTTTCTTGGGGTGGTGTGGAACAGAACCCACAATATCTCTGAGGCTGCCTGTGCACGTGTGAGTCCTGTGATTTTCTCAGTGTTCCTTTTTGTGTTTATTTTTTTCCTGCACTGGGTGTTCAGCGCTGCGCACGGGCGTTCTCTGGTTGCGGTGCGCGGGCGTCGCATGCGGTGGCTTCTCTTCCTGCAGAGCGCGGGCTCTGGGGCACGCAGGCATCACTGTTTGTGGGCCACGGGCTCAGTTGCCTTGTGGCATGTGGAATCCTCCTGGACACTTGGCCACCAGGGAAGTCCCAGTGTTTCAGAATGTTCCTCAGGTGCCACATGAGGCTGTTACGAAAACTGTTCTAATCCGGCAAAATCATGAATACCGTTTGCCTCCTACAGATTAAAACAGAGGGGCCGGGAAGTGGGAGCTCCCAGAAGCATCCTTGGCTCCGTGGGACCCTGCTGCGTGAGCCCTGGTGGGGGGGGACTGGACGGGTCCGTCCCTTCTCCTCCCGAGCGGCGTCTGCTGCTCCGTTCGTGCTGCAGCTCCGCGCCGGCGCCTCTGGTCCTGCAGCTGCGGCTTCCCAGTCTGTCCAGCAGGAGATGCTGCAGAGCGTCTTCCAGGGCCGGAGTGTCAGTCATGGATGTGGGTGCTGACTTGCGGGGTTTGCTCTGCTGGGGCTGTGATGGAGGGGTGTGCATGTACCTGTTACAGGCGGGGTCCAGGGCAGGGACCCCGTCTGCTGGGCCTCAGGGCGTTACTGCAGCGAGCGCGGCGTGGACAGGTTGAGATTGGAGCCCGGCTGTCCGGCTCTCCCCGCCCTGCTCGGCACAGTGCCGCACGCCTGTCCGCCCGCTGTTCTCAGGTGACGTACACTTGGCAAGCTGATCCTTCACTCTGAAACGATCTCTCCATGAGTGAAATGGGCCTGTGGTTTCTTTTATTGTATTATCTCATTGTGATGCTCAGTCCTTACCAGCCTCATGTAATGTTTGGTAGCTTTCCTTTTTTCTGATGCTCTGTAAGCTGGGTATAATCAGTTTTCAGAGTTGGAGTTTTAGTTGCTTTGCGATGTTGCGCGACTCTGCCGCAGAGCAGCGGTTGAGCTAAAGGTGTTTACGTGGCGTCCTCCCTGTTGGGGCTCATCACAGGGCGCTGAGTGCAGTTCCCCATGCTGCGCAGGAGGGCCTGTTGTTTATCCTCTCTGTTTATACAGTTTGCATCTGCTGACCCCAGACTCCCAGCCCTTCCCCTCAAGCCCCCTTGCCCTTGGCAACCACAAGTCTCTTTTCTATGTCTGTGAGTCTGTCTCTGATTTGTAGATAAGTTCATTTCTGTCATATTTTAGATTCCACGTAGTTGTCTTTGTCTGACAGTTTCACTTAGCATGATAATCTCCAGGTCCATCCATGTTGCTCCAGATGGCGTTATTTCATCCTCTTTCATGGCTGAGTCATAGTTTAATATATGTATGTACACTTCTTCTTTGTGGGCATAATCAGTTTGGTAGAAGTCACCCATACAGTCATCTGAAGTTACGGTCCTTAGGTCAAGGAATCTCTGATTACCATTGCAGTTTATTGAATAGTTTATTTGGTCCACTGTTGGCAGTTTATATTTTCTGGAAACTTTGTTGGCTTTCAGATCTGTGTGGGGGGCCCAGAGAGAAGACGCAGCATTGGCCTTTGCCTGTCTGTGGTGGACGGGGCCTGGCCATCTTCTCCTCGGGGCTGCTGCCTCCCAACAGGGCGCCCAGCTGCTGTCCGTCTCCGAGTGGCTTCTCCTCGGTTTCAGCGTCCACGTCCGCTTCCTCCCGTGGCCCCAGCAGGACAGGATCTGGGAGAGGGCCGCTTGCCAGAGTTCAGTGGCTGGTGTTGCATCTCTGTCTCATCAGGACTGTGTTAGTCATTAACACAGGGACGTTAAGAGATGCCATATTGCTTCAGGGCCCTGCAGGAGTGAGTTCTTCAGGTAGTTAGAGATGCCTGTTAGCGATGAGGCTGCTAGAGGTGTCGGTAGGGGAGAGGGCCGTGTATGTGGCACCTGTTGTTCCGAAATTAAATCAGTAAGCCCACTGAGCAACATTTTTAAAGATATATGTAGAGAGAGATGGGCTTCCCAGGTGGTGCTAGTGGTAAGGAACTCGCCTTCCAATGCAGGAAATGTGGGTTTGATTCCTGGATCAGAAAGATTGCCCCGGAGGAGGGCCTGGCGACCCACTCCAGGATCCTTGCCTGGAGAGGAGTCTGGCGGGTTATGGTCCATGGGGCCGCAAAGAGCTGGAGATGACTGAAGCTGCGTTATCTCACACAGACAGAGGGAGATGCACGTAGAGGATGAGAACAGAAGGTCAAGGCAGGGTTTAACCATCACTGCTGGGCTCACATTCCAGCTTTGCCACGTCCTGCAGTGTGCCCCTGGGCGCTGAGCCTGGGTTTTCTCATCTGTAAGTTAGCAAGTTGGCTCGAGTACTTATGCTTAGAGCACCTGTAAGCCCTGGGTGAAACAATACATAGACAGCGTAAGGTGCCGGGTCAGTCAGGAGTCTAACCTCCTCCAGCTGGCTGAAAACAAGGAAACTGACGGAAAGAACTGGAAGCCTCAGAAGTAGCTGGCTTCAGGAACAGTTTGATCCAGAGATCGCTGGTGTCGCACTGTGGCCCTGTTTTTCCGTGACTTTCTTGGCTCCGCCCTTCTTCAGGGATCTGCTCCGTCCTCAGGCGGAGGCTGTGGCCATCTCGGAGCTGACAGTCGTGCGGGGCCATGGGGGGCTCTTCAGTCAGATCACAAGTGGTCAGAGTGCTGGGACAAGCCCATCGGGCTAAACCTGCTGGGACACGCCTCTGATTTGAGAGCCGAGTGAGCCCTGTGCACGCCTCGGTGGGGGCAGAGGGGCGGGCGGGTCCGAAGCCAGAGCAGGTGCTGTTGGCTGGGGAGGGGGCACGGGCACTGGGGAGGCAGCAGCTGGCCGCCCCCGACGGTTCAGCGGCCTCTGGCGGGCCTTCCTGCACCTGCCTTTGCCTCATCTTCCGGTGTCGTTGCCATGGCCAGCGTGATTCTCCTCTCGGGAGCCGTCAGTGGCAGCGTACCCTGGGCGGAAGCTAGTCACTATGGTTTCCTGGCCTCAGACACTCCGCACCCTTACTGCCCGGCTGCCCCAGAAGCCCGCACTCTGGGCACTCCCTCCCAGCCTCTGGGTGGCTCGTGCTGGGGGCCTTCGCTGCCCGCCTCCCCAGACCCCTCGACACTGCGTGCCACCACTTCTTTCAGGCCTCATGCAAACGGCATCTTTTCAGAGAGGCCTTTTCTGATCAGCTTGTCTGAAGTAAGAACTTTTTTCTCCCATAATACCTGCCACCATCCCGTGCTGTATTTTCCTTTATAGCCAGTGTTTTAGAAAACAAACGTTTCCTAACACACACACACCCACTCACAGACACCTCTGCTGTCTTCTTGACCACAGGCAGGCCTCAGAGGTGTGGCAGGTTTGGTTTCAGGCTGTGGCAATAAAGCCAGTGTTGCAGCACAGCGAGGCACATGGATATTTTGGTTTCCCGGTGCACATAAAGGTTATGTTCACACTCTACTCTAGTGAGGGCTTTCCTGGGGCACAAATGGTAAAGAATCTGCCTGTAATGCAGAAAACCTGGATTCAGTCCCGGGGTCAGAAAGATCCTTTGGAGAAGGAATCGGCAACCCACTCCAGTATTCTTGCCTGGAGAATTCCATGGACAGAGGAGCCTGGCAGGCTTATAGCTCTTGGGATCACAGAGTTGAACATAACTGAGTGACTAACTTAAACTTTTTAGTTTCATGCTGTAGTCAGGTGTGCAATAATGTTGTGTCTAAGAAGCTAATGTACATACCTTACTTAAAAGTATTTTATTTGAAGAAATACTAGCCATAATCTGGACCTTTAGTGAGTCATAATATTTTTTTTTTAAAAATTAACTGATTTATTTAGCTGTACCAGGTCTAAATTGCAGCCCGTGGGATCTAGTTCCCTGACCAGAGATGCTGGGCCCCCAGCAGTGGGAGCGTGGAGTCTTATTAGCCACTGGACCACCAGGGAAGTTTTGTGAGTCATAATCTCTTTGCAATAATAACATTAATGATCACTGGTCACAGATCACCGTGACAAATACAACAATAATGAAAACATTTGAAAAATTACAATAATTGTCAAAATATGACATGGAGACATGAAGTGAGCAAATGCTTTTGGCAAAATTATACCCATAGACTTGTTCGAAACAGGATTGCCACAGACCTTCAATCTGTAAAAATGAAGTATCTCCAAAATGCAGTAGAGTGAACTCTGCTCATATCTGCAGATCCCAGCACAGGCCTGGCACATAGTAGGTGCTCAGTAAATATTTGCCACAGGTAGTAGCTCTAACCCCCACCACATCCTCCTAACAG